TGTATTGTATGGGGCGTACCCTGTGTAGTGTTCCTGTTTAAAATATTGACTGTGTATCGTTTCTGACAAAAGTATAGAACATACCCTGTGAAGTGTTCCCGACACTCCGTGATCTGTTTCCAAGCATGCTGTGTGGTGTTTGTGTGACGAGCTTTGAGCCCCACGCAGAAGGAAATGCATAATAGTGAAATATTGTGTTGCGAACATTACATGATGTCAAAGAGGTATCTACAATATTTAGCCTGAGTAAGTTGTGTGCTAATAGCATAATAAGCAGGGGCCTCTGCCTGTTGGACAGGGATCAAGTACGTGCACAAAAAAGACACCAAAAGATATCATCCATGAATCAATGTTTATAACACTAGGGAAGGATGACCCTTCCCATACTACAGTTAAGTGATGGAGAGCACAGTTTAAGTGTGTAGGGAAGCGTCTTGAAAGGCCTGTCACGTCAACAACACCAGATGCGATCCAGAGAATCCTCGATGTACTGACGACAGTTCGGCAAATGACTGAGCAAGACGTTGCTAGAGTTCGGTCCATATTTTCCAGGAGAGTACATTAGAACAGAAACATGGGTAGAGATGAAAGTAATACATCTTGGGATTCGGAAATTTCTGACATCTAATAAGGATTGCAACAGGCTTGATGTATTTCGTGATGGTCCAGCTCTGCCTGGAGTTGATACAGAAAGAACTACTGCTTCTTCGACTTGTGATAGTGGATGAAGCATGGGGTCACCTCTTCCCGTCAACAATCAAAAGAGTGGGAGGACAAACAGTGGCCGTCGTGTTTTCGAATGCCGAAGCTGTACTGTCTTTCAAAAGACAATATATAGAACACATTGTGCTGCTCATTTGATGCAAGTATGGGATGAAATTAAGACCAAGTGACGTGAGAAGCTGATGAAAGGTTTGGTTTTCCTTCAGGACAATGTGCAGAAATCAGTCATTGTCATGGCTACAATCGAGATCTCCTTCAAGGCCTATCTGATTCTCGTGATTTGACTCCGTCCGACTTCTATCTGTTCTCACGCAGGAAAAATACTCGAGCGTGAGCCCATTTCGCCCGAACGATGACGTCAAAGCAGCTGTGGACAACTTTTCAGGCAAAGGGAAATCAACACCTAAATTGGCAAAAATGTATCAATGTTGCAGATATTATATTGAAAAGTAAATCACCATATTGTCTTAAGGTCCGTTCTTTCCAGAACGCCCCTCTACATATTAGTGGCCTCACAGACATGAGGGAATGTAACATGAACAACACCACAAAACACGTTTCTCTGTAGTTTGCCTTAACCCGATTCCTGTAATGTGAATACGCAGAGGAGTCGGTGTTGTTGTGGTTGGTACGCAGAACCGCATTGATTAAATGTAATAAGAAGCGTAGGACTGCAAAGGGACGTGCAGCATGTTGGATTCAGCAGGTCTGGTACATGCTGTTTATACATGTATGGTGTCAGTACAACAACTTGATCAGGCATGACATCATCAAGCCGAAGCGGGGCATATCTGACGCGTTGTGATCATCTTCTTTACTCGCCTGTTTAAGACACCGGTGTTTGATATACAGTCATTATTCAGGAGGCATGTTACCACGATGTTATCAACATTAGGTTTGTGTATCAATGTCATCAGTGGTCACTTATGAAAGGTGCACTTTTTGCTTGGGCGATCATCCAGTTCAGCAGAATTTAAACCATTGAATGTCAGTAAATAGGTTATGCTCCGTTAAATACTGATTCTGATCAGTGCCTTGCTTCAAATAGGCGGATCAATTTGGATTAAAATGTGTCTGATGTTATGTTCGCTTCAACGCGCTCTAAAATATCTTTTACTGCTCGCTGGATTTCTTCATTGTGAGCTTTATGAGTCTTCGGCGATCAGAATGGGTACTTTTCTTCGATTGGATTAGATAGTCAGTCATGGATCATCCTGTATCACTTCACATTTCAAACAAGTCGATCACGCACAAATGTAAGAAACACACGTCCGAGTCATCAATTGTTCCTATAGCTGTCAACTGTTATTTCTCCGGACGACAGTTGGTCATGACTGGGACAATCTATGTTGAATAGGGAGGGGAAATACTCCCTTTGCACCGATCGTAATCTGAACAATGGACGTGTAGTTTTTGATATAGTCAATTGTCGCTTCCATGAGAACATGTTGAAATGTTTTGCTGAAAGAATCAGTTGTTTGTTCCCTTGAAGGACTCTTTTAGATTTGGATGTAAAACCCAAAGTTGGCCTAGTGCCAAAGTAATCTGGCACCAATTCCTTCCATGTAATTATCCTCGCTGCATTAGGCACAGTTCCCCCGCCTACTAAAAGTTCCATACAAAATCGGTCATGGAGGGTTGGAGATAAGCCGGCGATAGCGCCTTGTCTGTTTTTAAGGAATGTTTTAGCGAATTCATAGCTTCTAAATGTCATCTGAAACTGAGCTTTATCAGCTTAGTTTTTACATTGAAATTGATAACTCTCGAGTTTTATAGATTACTTGACGAGTATGTATGTTCTTAACTTATTTGATGAATAACAATCACTTAATGGATGCTTGAGCAAGTCTTGACATTTGGACTGACGTTATTTATGGTGGATGTATTGTATTATCTGTGTTCACTATTTCAAATGTTGGTTTCCTTTTATCGACTTGATGAACCCAGCATATATTTTGATCAGAAAAACTGATGTTTGCCTCCAAGGCATCTTTACGGATGTCATTTGTTGTGTTCTCAGTATGGAACATGTTGATTTTTGGTACGAGTAATGGGTACACACTCAGTTCGGCGCGACAGGCCCAGTTATATGCTTTCTTTCCTACTCCTAGACTAAGTAATGATTTACAAAATTAAACTTTTTTTTGAGAAGTGTGTGAGTGTTGTTTATCATTGTAAAATCTACACCCCAAACTTCACAACTGTATAACGTTAATGGTTCTTTGAAGGTTTTAAACTCATCATGGAAACCGATGTTTTAGCAAATACAACTTTTCTTTTGTGTGCTTGTATAAAGGTTTTGAAGTTTCCCTTTTCATGGAGTTGTATTCCTAAATACGTATACCTGTCAGCTGTGGCGATTGATCTTCCCTGTTCTGTCCATGTAGACACTTTGTTACATTTATTGCGCTTTCAATAGATAGCTATCATATATTTATCATGGTTGAAGATGAGAGTACTCACACAGCGATCGATCAGTACAGAGGAAGTAATCCATTGTTCAGTTGTCAGTGTAAGGGAGACAACTCATGTCGGAACAGATCCAATCATTTCTCTTGCTTGTTGTATCTGAGTGACGATAAGAGAAATTTTTCATCAATAGGATATTTTCAAGAGGAATACAATTACCATTCATTCTCATTGCCTTGTACCAAGTTTTATACGAAAAACTTTCCTAGCATCACAATAATAGGAAACTGAGCAGTTGAATGAATAGCACACCCAGTATAACCCAGGCTTCTGCTGTACTGGGGTATATTGTGCTTGAGTGTATGGGGTAATGTGTGTGTGCGTACGTGCGTGCGTGTTGGTTGGGTGTGTGGGGTGTATGGGGTTATTCAGGCGACATATCAGGCACAGGTATACCTAAAGCACATCTTGTGATTGATAATATAAGCATTAATGCTAGCATAGAAAAACACTCATATTTTGGGTTCGTATCAGTAAATCTTTAATTCAAGATATTGTTAATTGATTAAAAAATAACATCGTTGGTGGGTGATATTTACCGGAAATTTGTCAGGAACAGCAGGCGCAGGGATTTGATTTCTGGCATTTTCACGTTTTGTGTTATTGCTCATTGGCTTCTTAATACATGCGAACTGGAAGTCCTGCTCGGATTGGAAGTCCTTGGAAGTCCTGCTCGGATTGGCAAACTCTAAACAAGGGAATCAGGCCAAGACATTTAACTAAAGCTTGAGGTATATGGATGACCTGATATCGTTTGATAACGTTTACATAATCAGTTCTCATCCAACAGAACAATCTGAAGTACAAATGAAGGAGACCAGTGAGACCGCCTTTATATTTAAAACTATACACAACTTCCTGCCCCACACTACTAATATTGCGATCGACTGGTTACACTATGCAACTCATGTTCTCCTCTACACCGTTGCTCGTATTATCAACCCTTGACCAATCTCAGCTGTGTTATAGATTGAATATTACAGACAGACACGTCATGTTTGATTTACCTAATCACTTGACTGGCTGTCTAGTCTATGACGCCAGATTCGTGGTGATAATTGGTCTGCCAGCACCATATACTCTGTGGTACGAATGAGGTTAGCGTCCAAAGCAGGCCATTCCTAATCAGGCTGATGTGTCGCGATGAAGTTGACACACTATTTAATGAAATGTTGCACACAGCTCGTCAAACTTGCTCACATTCACCATCGAGGCGCCAATGTCATAACAGCACTGACAATGTCGTGGACAGATTTTCTGTAGGTTTTGCAAACAAAAATAAAGTAAACATTATTTCATTCTGTTTCATTTGAAACACGTGGTCAGTCGACAAAGACAGCAATTGACTGTTCAGAGTTGGGACTGAATGAACCTGCGGACGTTGTATCGAATCCTTGTTCGCTCTGACACCATACCCGTACTCTGAGGTTCCTCAGAAATGGTAATCATCTAAAATCCTGCATCACTTCTGAGATTCCTACCTCATCGGGGAGATGGGGTAGATTAATGGTTAAAGTGTCCGCTAGTCACGCCGAAGATCCGGGTTCGATTCCCCACATGGGTACAATGTGTGAAGCCCATGTCTGTTGTCATCCGCCGTGACATTGCTGGAATATATCTAAAAGCGGCGTAATACTATACTCACTCACCCACTCTTACCACATCAAGCTGACACCCTGCGATGTAGCTGAAATTCCGGCCCCATCGTCGTTAAATCCAAACAGTTGATCAATTCAAGATGATTTTTTTAAAAACCTCGACATCCAGACCAACAATGAGAAAAGGTGTTCACTGAAAAAAACCTTCACTTATGTTGGAAAGGCATTTATTTCAGGGAGAATCTTTAGTCTAGAATCTAGACGTCCCTCTTCATCCTAAAACATTGCTGTTGTCCATCGAACCTGCGGGCGCACCTGCAACATCAAATAAATGGTGTTTGGCGCACCTGCAACATAAAAAGTGATATTTGCACTAACTGTGTGTGTGTGTATTATTGTGTGTGTGTGTGTGTGTGTGTGTGTGTGTGTGTTTGTGTGTGTGTGTTTGTGTGTGTTTGTGTTATATATAGATGTTTGTGCGTATCGGACAACTGTTGACTCATATTAGAGTCTAACATATTGGAAACTTATATTTTGACATACTTATTTTAACTTTCCCTTCAACACACTATGAGTACACACTGCCATTTAGAAAGTGGTCAAATGTAACATACGTTTATTGAGAAAGTGTAATCACAAATATATCATTTTACATGCAACAAACACACTGAAGGTTATCACTGGATTTATCACACAGCTCGACCAATAATCTCATTACTTTGTGTGGCGCTGACACATAACCCACACGTCTTCCGGCAGTGGTCCTCTGCCCACTTCCGGTAGAAGCTGTTGGTGCACGTGTCGGCCTGGTACTCGCTACAGTTTGGGAGGTGGTCCTTGCACAGTGGAGGCGGGCTAGCGGGCGGTGGGGAGCCTGGCAGGTGGATAACATTCTGTCTTTAGTCCCCACCCTCCATTATCCGATGTACATTATTAAGTTGTTCACTGGTCACGAGGGGGACATGGGTTGATGTACCCTCTGTGTTTGTTTATGTATGGAATATAAACACACATAGATGGTGCATCAACCCATGGGCCCCGAGGACCAATGAACAACGTATTTATCTTACCGAACACCTCAATGTTAATCTTGAACTGTTTGAAGCACGGGTATTGGATCATTATGAGGAGTACCGGAGTTAGGCAACAGCCCAAACACTACTGGCACGAAGTACCAAACGAATTTCCACAGTTCGGCATTTCCAGCGGGTATCATAGAACATGTTACTCGCTTGTACGCGGGGTACATTCATAGACTCAGCCAATCAGAAAACGACATTTATGTGTGAGGTAAGATAATTATCTATATTGTTATTATGATGAATTCATTGGTCAGTTTAACGCTTATTTTGACTCCTGATGTAGTAGTCTATAGGATGCACGCATGCTGTCAATGTTTCCAGAAGTATTATTCAGGAAAAGACGTTTCGTTTGGGGAGAGGAGAGGAGGCTTTTGATGTAAATTTACCATGGCTATGGTAATGGAATGGCCCTCTGCAGGTTTCAATAGATTCCAGGTGACAGATAATATATGCATATGAATCTATTTAACGAGATGGTGAGGACCCAATATGTAACCTCCAAGATACTCGATGGGTTCAACTGTCACAGCTACCTTTCGGTACCAACCAGTGACTGGCCGCAGTAGTTACACTGTATATATACAGAAAACTTTAACATGATTGACCTGTTTTTTTTGCTGGACATTGTACTTTATAATGACTATGAGGTTGATAATCAATTAATTGGGCGCCAAGCGGATGGCTGAGGGCAGGACATTATTATTATCCCAGTCGATGCATTCATTAACGTTAGGTCAGATTAGGGGGAACTGGACCTCGGCATGTGGAGCTAACACTTCTAAGCATTAGGCAACGCCATTTCCCTCTGAAAATGGATCTCTAATTCATTGGATAGAACGTGGGCCGTGGGTTTGTTTTGTGGGTTTGACTCGCCATCACGCTGACACACGGTGATATTACTATAATATGGATCAAAACTCCCTCGATCTAATCACCTGTTTGATAGCTATAATATGATGGAGACTTGGCTTCATCGACACAGTTGAAGCACAGATTATTCATCCATGCCAGCACATAACACAAGAAGGAAGAATCCATGCATTATTTGTTTAAAAGTGATAATGTTTAACTGCTCAAATATAGTGAAAAATAACGGCGTACAGTAATGAACCTATCACTCACATTAAGAATCCCTAATGCCATTTCGCTTTGTCAGTTGATGACGTTAAGCAGTACCAAGAAATGTTGCATTAATGCTGATACTGACCACAGAAGCCACATCTGTGCGCGCAGTGGACTCTAGCCCACGACTCGTAGTCCCCAGTGCAGGCAGTCTCCTTGTAGGCGCCGCAGTTAGGCAGGTAATCGGTGCAGGCTGCAACATTCATGTAGACACACGTACCAGACATGTAAGCAGACGTACCATCCACGTAAACACACGTATCAGTCTTGTAAACAGACGTACCACTCTTGTTTACAGACGTACCATCCATGTAAACACACGTACCAGACATGTAAACACACGTACAAGTCATGTAAACACACGTACCTCTCTTGTAAACAGACGCACCATCCATGTAAACACACGTACCAGTCTTGTAAATAGACGTACCACTCTTGTAAACACACGTACCAGTGTAGATTAACGCTTAGTCGCTGAATATATAATTTTGATAGTAACAAACAAACCCATTAAAATTGAAAAACTAGCTCCAGGGAGGCCAGAGACTCAGAACCTGAGGAAATCTAGGTTGATTCATTTAGGACTTCTGCATTGCAGAGGGGGCTAGGCAGTAAATGATAATAATGTGGTTCAGGGTCTTTGAGACAGACTAGTACCAGTGATTTAAACAAACGTACCAATCATGTACATTCACCTGTGTTCCTACTAACAGACTGTAACCCGACTGTAACCTAGTTTATGGTGCACCAACTAGACAAGACTTACACAACATCAATACTATCTCTCTGGTAGTTGGTAAAGTTGAATGTACTCCCAGTACTTCACCAGCTTGACTTCACTACCACACGTGAAGCCATGCCTCATGGCTAGCTATATATATATAATAACAGTTTCAGAAAAGACATCTCTCAGAATGACATAAGGAAACATTTGACAAGAATCATTGTTAAAAATATTATTTGTATGTTATTAAATACACTCCCACCAATGCATCCGAAATGAAATTGTACCTTAGTGATAGATACAGTAACATATTATCCTTTCCGGAGAAAGTGAAGCTCTATGATGAGTGAATGTGTGTATGTATCAGAAGAGTGTATTGATTATACTCACGTAAGGGCGGTGGACTCTGGGTATCCACCACAGTCAGAGCTAAGAGTAGGGGAAACAGGCTCAGGGTCATCATGGTGTACACGTATATACAGGGAGTGGGGTCGGCACTTTCACCTATCAGGAACTGTATTGAATTCAGATAACGTTGGCTTAAAAACGACGTGACCCTTGCCATGCCTTTATCTATGAACCATTTCTGGTCTTAGATAAGCTTCTCACGTCCGTATATTTGTGCCGCACAAATGGAGAATAATAAATGTTCAATATGGAAATATTGTGAGTAATCTGATATGACGACACGCAAAGTAAATGCAGGGTTGTAAGTTCGGTTTATTTCCAAGTGGATGGAGATTTTCAACATACACGACAAACCCTGAAATAATTGTGGCAACAACATAATAACAATATAATAAATAAATAATGTTCAGCATGTTTACAGAACATACATTTGTATCTGTTTATAAATATTCAGTACATTAACATTATAAATGTAAATAAATGTTATAAATTAGTTACAGAAATATAATGATAACTGAGGGGTAGAACGTTTACAAGATCAGGGGCGATAACTCATGGCAATGACTTAAACAATGCCATAAATGATATCGGCGGTAATCGCCGCATATCATACAATATTTACCTTAGAAGGTTAACATAAAGGAATGATGATTCTTTATGTTAGAATGATATGTATACATGATATAAACAGTATAGTATATTGCATACCCTATGTATGGCACTGGGGCCCGTGTTCATGCTGGCTGCCATAGCAGATGATGGAATACATGTGTACTGGAAATAAGATACATTGTGATAAAAAAAACAACTGATTGAGGTACAAACTCCATACAGACATAATGATAAGCATGGAAAGATGTACTTTATACACTATAAAACCTTAGATTGAGATACTTTGCCATTATTTTTTCAACATAAGATAATAATAATTAGACAACATTCATACACAAAGCATACTCACAATGCCTCGCTTTATAGGTATTTAATGCTATTTACGTTGAAAAGGGAATATATGATACACATTAAAATAGAACCTTTGCGTTTACCCGCGTGCCGATTACAACACACGCTAACTACCCTGACGGCATTAATTACCCTTATTTAATATATGTTATGAGTTTAAGATTACTTTTTGAGTTATTGCTACATTAGATATGCATAAACAATACTTAAGATAGTTAGTTTACTAACCTGATGAGAATTTAGTCGACGGCTATGCTTACATATTCGTCTGTCACACACGTTTTGTCAGTTGTGTCTGGTGACGATATGACGTCAAGGTGTGAGGTGTTCATCCATAGAAAAAGCATCCAGGTTTAAATGGACCAAACGTAACGTGTTGTCACAGTTGAGTAAACACTATTTTGCATGCTTGTTATCATTTCCTGTGAACATGCTAATAGTTCCCGAGGAACTCATCTAATATACGGGCGGTGGGGTAGCCTAATGGTTAAAGTGTTGGCTCGTCACGCTGAAGACCCGGGTTCGAATCCCCACATGGGTACAATGTGTGAAGCCCATTTCTGGTGTCCTCCGCCGTGATGTTGCTGGAATATTTCTAAAAGCGGCTTAAACCAAACTCAATCAGTCATTCATCTAATATAATCATTAAATACGACATAATGCGTTTAGATGCAATTGTAACAAAAGTATTATGCATGAGATCAATATTTTCTAGAATATTCTGTAATATAATGTGTCTATATTATAATATGATTGCAGGAAAATGTTATATTGTACATATAAATGTATTTTTTTGTGGAATGGAGTTTTAAAGGTCTACTCATTACGTGTGACATGATTTCATGTGGAGGTAGTACCGAGTGACATCTAGTTTCGAAGCATCTTGCTTATAATAATAAACTCCATCTCACTGGATGGAGACATACCTGATGACCATTCTGGTACAAGTTTGAGGTGAAAAAGTACTAAGGCATAAGCAGGATATGTGTTTATTAGTTTCATAATAATCGTTGGCAGTGGTTACAGTGTCAGTATGTCCTAGTCAATCTTAGGAGTGGGCACACCTGAAAAATACAAAGTCTTGTGAGTCTTGCCATAAAACTCGTCCTGTGTTGGGCTGCCTGAACAACTGTGTGGCGCTTCATTGTATTGTATATAGGACATATCTCGTGTGATGTCTCTGCATACATAGATCACACCTCGCATTGTACTGTATATAGGACATACCTCGTATGATGTCCCAGCATACATAGATCACACCTCGCATACTGTATATAGGACATACCTCGTGTGATGTCCCTACATACATAGATCACACCTCGCATTGTACTGTATATAGGACATACCTCGTGTGATGTCCCTACATACATAGATCACACCTCGCATTGTACTGTATATAGGACATACCTCGTGTGATGTCCCTACATACATAGATCACACCTCGCATTGTACTGTATATAGGACATACCTCGTGTGATGTCCCTGCATACATAGATCACACCTCGCATTGTACTGTATATACCTCGTGTGGACATACCTCGTGTGATGTCCCTACATACATAGATCACACCTCGCATTGTACTGTATATAGGACATACCTCGTGTGATGTCCCTACATACATAGATCACACCTCGCATTGTACTGTATATAGGACATACCTCGTGTGATGTCCCTACATACATAGATCACACCTCGCATTGTACTGTATATAGGACATACCTCGTGTGATGTCCCCTAGATCACACCTCGCATTGTACTGTATATAGGACATACCTCCTCGTGATGTCCCTACATACATAGATCACATCGCATTGTACTGTATATAGGACATACCTCGTGTGATGTCCCTACATACATAGATCACACCTCGCATTGTACTGTATATAGGACATACCTCGTGTGATGTCCCTACATACATAGATCACACCTCGCATTGTACTGTATATAGGACATACCTCGTGTGATGTCCCTGCATACATAGATCACACCTCGCATTGTACTGTATATAGGACATACCTCGTGTGATGTCCCTGCATACATAGATCACACCTCGCATTGTACTGTATATAGGACATACCTCGTGTGATGTCCCTGCATACATAGATCACACCTCGCATTGTACTGTATATAGGACATACCTCGTGTGATGTCCCTACATACATAGATCACACCTCGCATTGTACTGTATATAGGACATACCTCGTGTGATGTCCCTGCATACATAGATCACACCTCGCATTGTACTGTATATAGGACATACCTCGTGTGATGTCCCTACATACATAGATCACACCTCGCATTGTACTGTATATAGGACATACCTCGTGTGATGTCCCTACATACATAGATCACACCTCGCATTGTACTGTATATAGGACATACCTCGTGTGATGTCCCTACATACATAGATCACACCTCGCATTGTACTGTATATAGGACATACCTCGTGTGATGTCCCTGCATACATAGATCACACCTCGCATTGTACTGTATATAGGACATACCTCGTGTGATGTCCCTGCATACATAGATCACACCTCGCATTGTACTGTATATAGGACATACCTCGTGTGATGTCCCTGCATACATAGATCACACCTCGCATTGCGCTTTTCATTTGTATAACGTAAGCTACTCCAGGTAAGGATCATGTTGTGCTCCCGTATAACGCGGGGTTCTCCTTATAACGTATAGGACATATTAGCGTTCTAATATAAGCAATGGAACCTACCCTGAACAACGCCACAGAACCCACAGGTCACCCGGCAGTGAGCCTTTGCCCATGCCCTGTACAGATCTTTCGTGCATATGTCGTCCGGGTAGCTGTGACAGTTGGCTTCCGTGTCAATACACGGTGGAGTTGGTGTAGTCGTTGTCGTAGTCGCTACGGAGGAACACGTTGGTTAGTAACAAACAGTGCATTTAGATGTGCAGAGGTTCTGGTAAAGTAAAGCGGCACACTCTTGTGATCATGGACCATGTGGACAAACCATGAAAACAGCGTGATGGGACATGAGGCCATGGTACTGATATAGTAGTAGTTCATCCTGATGTACCGTGTACTGTTTACTCTCTTGTTGAAATACTACTGGGGAGGTGGGGTAGCCTAGTGGTTAAAGCGTTCGCTCGTCACGCAGAGGCCCGTGTTCGATTCCCCACATGGGTACAGTATGTGAAGCCGATTTCCGGTGTCCAAGGCCGTGAAATTGCTCGAATGTTTCTGAAAGCCGAGTAAAACTGAAATCCCTCGTTCATTGTTGAAATAGTGGTGTTTTATATTCAGATGTAACCCAGGATGACAGGGGCAGTATGATCTATGTCGGGCGTGTGTATGTTCAACACAGCTCACTGACGAAACGGCTTGGTTGATCATCTCGTAGGATCGAAAGCCAGGGGCTAATTTTAACCCTAGAAAATAGATTCTCTAATAACCCCGCCCCATTAAACACATGATTCCGATTTACCGCTGGCAATGAACAAGACCGATCAATTGGTTCTGGAACACGTTGGATTTTATGACCGCTTCATCGTGCATTAAAACCGTTATAAAGGCATTGGACTTCCGTTGGTTGAGTTACATTTCCAATATAGACTATCAAATGTTCAATGCTATGGGTATTTAATTATTTATTTATTGTATCCATGTTAGCTAACGGTTTCATAATATCTTGTAGATTTCAAGACGTTTTAAACTCGTTTGAAAAGGACCTCATATATATTCATTTGTGACATTGTGCGTTTTATTTTTCAGCTCGGCAAAACCAGTACACACTTGTGACGTCTTCACACCAGTGCGTCCTAGACACCAAGTATTCACATGAGAGAGTGTCCTAAACACCAACTATTCACATCAGAGCGTATCCTTAATACCAACTATTCACATCAGAGAGTGTCCTTAACACCAACTATTTACACCAGAGAGTGTCCTAAACACCAACTATTTACATCAGAGAGTGTCCTAAACACCAACTTCTCACATCAGAGTGTCCTAGACCAACTATTCACATGAGAGTGTTTTAAACACCAACTATTCACATATCACTATTCACATATCACATACGTACTAGGTCCAATACAAAGCTTGCAATACTGGATGCAGTTGTCTATCACCCATTGCTTGAACAGTTTGTTGAGACATGTGTCCCACTGGAACTCATGGCAGTTGTCCAGATGGTCCTTGCAGTTGGGGTCAAAAATACCTGTGGAGGAATACTTACAACATCAGTCAAACAAGCATTGGTCAGGAGAAATACTTGACATCACTGACAGTCTCTGGCATCCACTTGTTAAACATATATGATATGTATGAGGGTCCAGATTGGGCATGAACAGCCTATTTAGACACGTGATGAATCAACTGTTTATTGTGAAAGAATAGCGATAATTTCGGATTTTAGGTTTTGGTTTGTAACGTTTAACAGACTAAATATGATACAGAAAGTATTTTCTACGCAGAAAATACACGGACCCTAAATTGTACTCACACTCTTCAACGGGACCCTCATTTATGTTATTGAAAAACAAATGAACTATACAGTATATAAAGGTTCATTGGTATACAACACGAGTCAGGAGGCTTTTTTACAAAAATGAAAGATTATAAAAGTTGAATTTATTGAATGACGTTAAACAAATGATGGTCACGTCTAGAGAAGTCACATACGGTAACACGAACAGTACCGTGTGTTGTCCATTAGGGCGACCTGTCAATATGAGTTGTGATTCCCCAGTATGGGATGTATTCCTCCTATGTGAGCTCAAAACGTTCAGGTACACTCGGGATGCATGTAAAAGCTTTCGAATAAGTATTCCATGTAAACGATCTATAACGGTGAAAGCATCATAGTTATAATGTGTCTTCTCTCAAGTGAGAGAATTATCAGATTTTGACGAAAACCGGGCGCTATCACGTATATTAGGTGATCCATTTATAAAATGTTCGCCGCTATGACTTTTACACCCAATGGAATCTGTTTGGTTAGATTTGAAATGATCTGGTTTTGACGGTTTATGTAAAGGTTCAGTCAACACGATGAGTGTAATATGATTAGGTTGAGCTGACTCAACGGATGGTGTGAAGCGTAGAGAGGTTTATACGTAACGATTGTGTCCCATTTTTAAGGTGTTTTCATATTGAATGCCAGTATTTCCCATTTAAACGCCTTGTGCTCCTGCATTTTAATTCAAATATAAACTAATCTATTTAATACAATTTGATCAGATTATTCTCTAAATATTCAATTTATGGTGGCTTAATATTGGGAATTCTGTTGTCAATTAGTGCATTGAAATATGCGGATATGTGTGCTAGAAAATGGCTGCCCCTTGCCTATTTTGTCCCAAACTTGAGGTAAAGCTGTTTCAGTGTTACCTTGAAAACCTGCGTTGGACTATTTGTGATGATTGTTCAAATGAGTGATAGATGTAGGTTCCATCTTAATAGTGATAGTAAACATGTGGGTATCATAATGTGGAGATCGTACAACGGATTCTGCATCTAAAGAGGTTTCGTCTAATAGTGAATATCGTTTTGATGCTTGTATTTATATCCCACCTATGAACTGGTTTCTTATTCCGAATATACGTGTATTGGCCTTCACTACAGTGTGAACGGGGGTATAATACATACACTATACTTTACTTACACGCAAGCTAATAATAATTTTGAGGATTTGGTGAACCAAAGATACATAATATTTCATGTCAAGTCATTCCATGTCATTGGATTGGCTAACCAAGCAATATGGCTTCCTTCATCTTTTCATAAACCTAAGGAGTAGGCACGCCCACTAACGTACGGGAGTTTCTGATTGGTTGGCCAGCTTGTTGTATTATTATTTGTATTACTGCTGAACTCGTATCGTTGACTACAATTTGGTTGGTAATAATGATCAAATAAGCAGTCTTATTTATTTCAATTAAGTGACAGAACTCCTTTCATATTCACAAGAGCTTACAGCTGAAAGAGGTTTGTTAATCAACTGTTGACTTTATGCCACTTACACGATGTGCACACCGTTTTATTGACGTTATACATCCCGAAAATCGAATAAATACATTGAAGTAAATTTATCATTGCATGTGTGCTAAGGGATTTTCGAAAGACATAACAAGGGACAGGTAAGGAGGAAATGAACCTTTTCATTTAAAGAGTACAAAATCTGTGTTATCTAATCTGGAGCATGGTCGCGTGTCCAATATGAGCGACAAAAGAATTTTCCATGAATAAATACGTACAGAGGAGTGTCTTTTCAACGAAATTCATATGTTTAAAGTCTTGTTCTACACCGCTCGAAACACACTACTAATGAGCTATACCAATTAATACAAGTGGTGAATCTTATCATTAAATCATAATCCTATTTGATAGTGAAGTCTTGAGATATTCATCACTAACCAAAATTGACAAATTGGACTCATTAATACACTACCAAGAAGATTTAAATTTAAATTTATTAAAAATACCATGACATATTTATAGGACGTCTGTGATAATATTTGAGATTTAACAACACATGCTTGTATGAACAGTTCGCGTGGCGATCTCCTGCATCGGGATAATGATGAGTGAAAAGGGAGGCAACCCATATTGGAATAAATCCAGTCAACTGGTGTCGGTTGCTGTCTGACACAAATTAAAGGGGTCACGATTATATCAGAATATATTGTGTCATGGCGGTTTATTGTTAAAAGGAAGATATTGCACATAGTATCATTCATTGTCAATGCAACGAAATGCAACAAATATCCAACTGAATGGAGGCGTCGCTCATGTAAAGGCAGAGATAGAATAACATAGCTTTGAATGAATACCACACTCGGCATAGCCAAGGCTTCAAGAGGTGTTGCGCCGGAATGTATGGCTGATGTTAAAGGCGACCTATCAGGCAATTGCTTTCCTGAAAAATGACCATCTTGTGATTAAACGTTTAAGCACATAAAGCCAACGAACAACACAATAACACTCGTGAGCTATCTGCAGAATAGTGAACAATGTATTCGTGGCATAGACTGATATAGACTATAGTGTAGTTTTGGGTTAAACACACTTACCAGGATTTGAGACTTGGGCTTCTCCTCCAAGAAACAGAGCTAAGATCAGGGTACCAAGACTGAGAAGCATTGCTTCTGTGAGTTAGGTCTGGACTTGACAAAATGGCCTTTGCAGATATATAATCTGTGATATGTCACTAAGATAATCTGTGAAATGTCACTATGACCGGAGCCAAAAACAGCATGAAAAATAGTATACTGTTGTCTGGAGAACCTTGAATGCTAAGATAAGATAATACACATGCGAGTGTGTCTAAATAACCGAAATGTCATATTCCTTACGCATGGCTTTGAATTGACTTTTTACTTTTGTTAGGGTGAATTATAAGACTATTAGTCTTTTTGATACTTTAAATATTATCATTGCATGTTTATATGTTACAATAATAACAAGAATTGGTAGCACACACATTATTCTTCAATTTATATGATTTCATGATACCTAATGTACTATATATCCTTCTGGTATTGTTTGAATATTTCGGAGTACCTAGTACAATTAATTATATTTTTAGTAAGACTTATTCAGTAAAGCATATTCTATTACTAAATTCTAACTCTATTAAAACTAGCCGGTTATCATGTACACGTGATCGAGAGCGACTGCAGCAGCTTATATCCAGTTTCCACAAATGTTGAAATCACATGGGACTGACCTAGGTCTGACAGAACCAGATAGTGTGATACCACGTGCATCGATGCTCAACAAGATCAGTCATTTCAAGACATGCGGCCGGGCAGGTAGACAGACATACATGTACCAATAGTTTATTATTTGAGTGTCACAAGACGGGTACAAAGATTTTACACTGAGTATATCCGATGTTCTGTTCTCGCTGGGAGTCTATACAAAGTCAAGTGGTACATACATTTGTAGAGACAAACACTGAAATGGGAGTTCCTTGATACGTATTATGCAACCAAGAAACGGGAGTCAAGTATATACCATCAAATAGACTGGTATAAACCGAATGTAGTAACTGCATAAAGAGACGTGGTACATCAGCCTTTTCTTTAATTTACCTAAACACTCGAAGCAACGAGAAAGTTCGCTGAAAACATATTTCATGCTACAAATGTGGCATCACAAGGCTTTCGTAAGTTCGTGCCTCATCCACTCAAGCAGCCCGACAAACCAAACGGAAAGATCAGTGATCATTCAAATCAACTTAGTGTGGGTAGGTGGAGTTGACCAGTCAGTGAAGCTAACTCGTATATCTTGTTGGAAAGGTCCAAAATGAAAATATCAATTGAAGACAATTCAGAATACGAAAGTGACATAAATCATTTCTACATTTTGTGTACAGGGAATCTGTCAAGTCATCAATATACAACAGAACATTACTAGCTAGCAATACGTTTTGCCGTTTAAACGATAAACATGATTTAGTAATAAATGTCCAAAGCAAATTAAACGTGCATCACCGAACAATCCTTGCAATAGATTAGTGATGCGTACAATATAAAGTTCGGAATTCGGAATTCAAGCTGGTGTGAAACTATGGACGAGAAATAATAAATCAACATAATTCAAAACAAGGAAGCCCCTTACTTCACTACTATGATGTTTACAGAGTGGCAACGTTCCAAATATCCCGTTCACTCTGTCAATACGTTTTGCCATTTTAAGATGAACATAATTTAATAATAAACTCCTTAGTTATGTTCAATATCCATTCAACGCCTGTCCTCAGCTAGAGTTGCCTGTTTAAGACAGCAACATTGACGTTGTCAATACACGTCATATACTTGTCTTTAATTTCTTCTTTCATTTTGTCCTTGAACCCAGAAACATTTATGTTTTGCCAATTTAGAGTCGCGTCAGCATCAATTTCTTTATGACTGAGGACGACATTGACACAGAAGTCTCCCAGTCCCTGCCGATAGTCGAGGACAGCCATTCCAGCCAGAACCAGGCCCTGCAGTGCCTCCAGTCTCAGGTTGGTCTCTGTGTCTGTGGAGCAGGAGATACGTACACGTTTATAACATGGATGATAACACATACGGAAAATCAACCTTTTCACAGTCATGGAGATGATTTGTATGGGGTTTAACGTCGCAAAGGAAATCGACTCAGGACTAGGGAGTTCATTGAATATTGCGAGCAATAATCTGCGAGCCACGAGCCACGAGCTACTTCAGGGCATGACGACACACAGTAAAGCATGCTCCCCAGTCTGACCACGTGATCGCTTTCATTGCTTCAAGCACTGGTTTCTTAGGACCTATTCTTATCTGGAATCCCACTTGGAACGGGAGATAACACATGTGGTTCGGCGTCGGTTCTTCGAGTTCGGTTTCATCAGACATATTCAGGATAATATTCATACGTGGAAGTACGCAAGTTTAGCGTGTTTTGACCGACGTACAACGATAACCTCAGGATATTGTTCCCAGTAGGGTCCCAACAAGGGGTCAAGTACTGGTAGTCACATGTAAAGACTCGTTGGTATTCTAAAAACAACTAACATATCTAGTATTTAACAAAGAGGAGTTCCTTACTCAACTCTTGGGAGTATTTGGCGGCATTGAGATAGGCCTCGTAGGTTTTCCAGATCTTCGCTCTTCCCATCTGACTCCAGGCGAATCCCAGATTCAGGTACAGATGGGCTCGCCTCTCGCTCGCTCTTCCAGCTGAAGCGAACCAGATCCAACACAATTATATATCCATTTACTCACAGTGTTATATACAGACAAACCTGGGCTCCAGTATCGTGGGGCCAAACTGACAAGCAGCACAGACATTAGAGATAGTATTGTTCATAAGTCACTGGAAAGCTTTCTATGGTGACTCAAACACAAACTTCAGTCTTGGGATTAAAAGGGTGAGTGAACAAAATCCCGGCATGTCAAGATTACATTGCTGAAGATTAATTATTCCCTGTGACATCTAAAGCATACTACATTAGGGCAAATTCAAATATTTAAGTACCTGGTTGCCATCGCGACAGGAAAACGAGATCAAATGTACAACTGTCATGTCCTACACCCCTCTTACTTTGGAAACCAAACAGACTCAGTTTGTAGATGTTTACCACTTTCGGAAGAATCAATCGATTCTGACATTTTGATAAGAAAACCCTAAGGTTCATGTCCGTTCATATCCGCTTGAGTTCGAGACTGTAGCCCAAGGGTGGATAATACGGTTGAAACGATGCATGTACATCTCATTCAACATGCCCGGGTTCAGCAGGCTCACCTATCACACCCAGAGCATCTTTGAAGTATTGCGTGGCCTCTTGATACTTCCGTTCCAAAACACACACAGCCCCTAGGTTTTGAAACATGTGACATTGGACCTCTTGTTCTTCGAGTTCGTTGATGTTTTGACACAGCTGTGTCTTTCGGAAACATAGCTTTGCTTTCTCGTAAGCTCCAATCTCGGTGAAGAGAACGGCCAGATCAGAGCACGTGTTCACTGTAATGACATAAACAGATCAACATGGATCACGATATAGCAATATATAATTATCCTAAAGTGCCAAAGTCCTCAACATTTGCTACAGAAGATACAAGTGTGAAATAAATTCAAACTTGGTAAAACTCTGGAACGAGTAATGTAGACTATGTATTATCATACAAAGTCGTATCATTGCTGAAATATTAACTGTTAATACATTTAATGATACATCTATTTCATAATGTAACAATCTAAAGCTTTACTAAGCCTTACTAAGCCTTACTAAGAAAAGCGAAAGCGTATCATGCAACTGTTGATTTATCTTCTCTAAGGTACCCGCTACATGTACATTAGCACCGTTTTGTTACTTTCTGTCTTGGATAGAGACATGTCTTCCATGTCTACAAAACACGACTTGCATGTCACATCAAGGGTCGTCTTACCTTGGACACGAGACCAGTCTTCTTCTAATATACTCAGACATTCATGTGCGTACATTCGAGCGTTTTGTCTGTTTTGGGCTACTGTCATATTGGCCATTGCAAGCAGATTGGCCACACGTTTGCTGCAGAGGACAGTCTCCGACTCCTCCATCTCCGTGTAGGCCTCCACTGATAAACGTTTACACACGTCAGCTAACTGTTTCCTGCACTTCAGCTTCTTCTCATCGTGTTTTCTTTCTTGTTTATCACCTGGCTCATTTCCTTGACACCGTTCCTCTTTCTCCCTGACATTTATTAACCGCAGCCGTTCCTCTAGCGCCTTCTGCTGCAGGATCAAAGTCTCAGCCTTAGCATCTTTCACACGTTCCAGAATCTCCAGACATGTCTCCAGATAAGTATCCTTTTTGTCATTGTCCGGCGATGCAAGCGCCAGATTGAAGTTAATACAAGCTGACAACATGTTGTCCTCTGTGTTCTCTTCCAGTAACTGTTCCAGTGCTTTTCTTCCATCCGTCTTTTCTGCTTCATCCCCTCTACCTATTTGTGCTGATGCCAGGTTCAATCTGCAAAGGGCAACACTTTCTCTCTTTCTTATTATAAGACGGTTTGAGTCCCTTAAGGCAAGTTTAAACTGTTCCAAAGCCCCTTTGAGGTCTCCACTGTCATACATTTCTTTTGCAAGAGTAGACTTGTGTTTCACACCTACGGCTATGGCGTTGATACTCTCGTCCATCTCCTGAAAATTATGCATACATTTTTAGTGCCTTTTCGAGAACACCTGGAGTTTCAGTTTCTTCGGTATAATTTTCACTGTTAATTTACCTTTTGGGCCCAAAGGATTGTGTTTTTCTGTGGCGTTGACGTTTAAATTTTATAATGAATACACGGTAATTTCCTGAGCATAATTTCGTGCGTAATGTAAGTTCCAGTGTTGAGGTAATAAATGAGTACAGTATACCCTGGTTATAATGCCACCGTTTGTCCAGAAGAAAATGTGGCATTATATCCGGTGTGGCATTATAACCAGGTAGGGCAGTTAGCGGCCCTATGCAATCAACAAGGTGATTCACATGGTGTCTCCTGTAATGAGCCATGAATGGCTGGATCATCACTAAACCAATTAAGGTATATTTACTACATGCAGCCAGTGAAATTGGCATTATAATCAGGGGAAAATGACTTTTTGTCCCAAAAAACTTTGGCAAATGGCATTATATCCAGTTTGGCATTAAAACCAGGGGCATTATAACCAGGATGCACTGTATATGGTTACATTAGGTAACACCTCGTAGTACCATACTAGTTTCTTACCGATATTCCATTCAGACTGAGTGTATTTCCCTCCTTCATAAAGCAAATACTAGAAAGGTTTCGTATAATCAGCACAATGTTATGATACCAATATCGTCAGTGAGTCATCTACTAAACTAATCAGTTCAATCAAACCAGGAATATGCAATTAGTAGTTGATAGTGTGAGCACGGAACTATACAATGATATACTGAAAGAAGCACATCCTTGCGGATGAACAGAAGGTTCTTAAGATTTACCGCTCTGACTTAACACTGGCCCCCGTTCCTCAAAGCGATCGTAGCTCTACGACAGTCGTAAGTCTATGTTAAAGCATGGGAGTTACGACTGTCGTAGAGCTACGATCGCTTTGAGGAACGGGGCCCTGGACGTTTGTAGCCTTAACATTTGATGGTTTGATTGTTGACTGTTTGACGCCGCACTCAGCAATTCTCCCAACTATATACGACGACTGTCTGCAATAATCGAATCTCTACCAGACAATCAAGTGATTAACATCATGAGCATCGACCTACGCAACTGACATACGATGATATGTGTCATTCAAGTCAGCGAGTGTGACCAGCTGATCCTGCTAATCGCCTCTTAAGACACGCATTGGTTGCTGTAGACCAATTCTAACCCGGATCTTCACTGATCTTCACGCTCTCCACTTGACAGCTACTACTTTCCTATTGTATATACAGAATATATCACCTTACAAATTGTTCACATGTAGCGTCTGATCATGACACCATGTGTACGAAGATAATTCCTGGAAACACCTACCTTGTTTGAATATCGGAATCCTGTGAACGTAGTCAAACAGACAATCTTCTGCTACAGGCCACCGTATAGAGGTTTGTGGTTGCCACAGAGCGAGGGGTAGGCGGCCATGTTTAGACTGTCGCTGTGAAGGTCAAGGTCTCCAGGGATTGAAGCAGGTCAAGCACAACTATAATCTGTCTTTAACCTTTTGCGGTATAACGGGGACTACAACTTCCTGGTGTGTCGTTAAGTCTAGTGTTTTGATATGCGGCCTTGGTGATATACACGATCGTATTGACGTGTATAAGTTGGATGTATTAGAAATCACCACACTGAATAGCTCGCAGACACCGTATAGTGGTAGGGTGAATTCAGTATTCTTGGAAATGGATATACAGCTTTGACAGTTGAGTGTGTTTACAACGGACTGTACAACATATAACTCACATTCCAAGCCATCTACGTTCATGTCAGACAAAACTCGATGAACCATGCTTCGTACACAGTCACGCTGTTTTGAGATATTTTCCTTATTCAACGTGTTTGATAATCGGATCCCTATATTTTTCTCTCGTCAGCCAAACTATCCCCAAATGAAAATATCCGTATGTCTGTCATTTCCCTCAAAACATCATTTATTCGCATTTTAACATTTCAGAGTCATTAACCAATCCCTTGCACTAAAACAAGAATGTAACCCTAAACAACCAGGTTTGTGGTCTGTTGCCATGCATCCCGTCTCTATATGTTGTGAGAAACGTATATTATTATTACTAGGAAATTATGAGAGTTGTCGACATATTTTAGCTTCAAGATTTTCTTGTGCTTTTTATTGACAACGATTAAAGACGTGAGTGAGTGTTTTTTGGTTCTACTCCGGTTTTTGCAATATTCCAGCAACATCACGGCGGGGGACACCAGAAATGGGCTTCACATATTGTACCCATGTTGGGAATCAAACCTGGGTCTCCGGCGTGACGAGCCAACGCTTTAACCTCTAGGCTACCCAACGACCATCGATTAAAGACGAGTTGACACGCTTAAATTATTTACTGGCTCAGTGTGATGAGCCGCTGTTCTGTCACCTCAAGCCCTGGGCACGCTGCAACATTTGTATATCATATACAACATTAAAGCATGTATCGGAGAACATGTTTATTGAATAAAAACAGGGGCGGTGGGGTATTATTGTGGTTAAGGCGTTTGCTCGTCATGCCGAAGACCCGGGTTCGATTCCTCACATGGGTATAATGTGAAGCCCATTTCTGGTGTCCCAGGCCGTGCTCGAAGCGGCGTAACACTAAACTCACTAACCTAATAAAAAATACAGGCTCTCCTGCCCCCGTCCCCCTCCGCCCCCAAGCGTCGTCTGCGTGTGAATAAGGATCTGCCAACACCATACCACACCATCTGGTGAAAGTCGACAGACTGAAAGGTTACAGGTCGAGCTAATTAAAAATGCTGTCCTAAAATTGACATATTGTCCAATGAAATGTGCAGCACAACTCGATCACTCCCCACGTGTCCTTGATAGTGTTCACCTTGCACTTGCTATGTCACAATGACACTGTCAAAAAGAAATATACAACGTCATAAAAGGAAGCATTGTTGTCTATAACTGTTGCTCTAGGTAACTTGGCTTGTCATAACATACATGCAATATAATTGTTTCGTGTTTGCACGCTCAACAGGTCATATCATTTGTAACTTTATCTCCGGCAAAATTAACATTACATGTTTGCGGTATTGAACAAACCGTACAACCCATGTATTGTATAGCCGCACCGGTAGCGGTACCCAAAGGGTAGTTATAAAGAAGGCTATTTTGACGCGACTTATAAGCTTTGCTTTTATGTCTATTTGTAAGACGATAAAGTGCTTTGCAGTGAGCAATAAACACCCTGATACCTTTCGAGCAGTGCATAAACACTTACATTTGTTGTGCTGAACATAATCACTATGTTATGCATAATCATTGTTGTAAGCCCCAGACATGGACATATTCGTGATTTCTCGAATGTGTACATTCTCAGGTAGACATCATTGCAGATTACTTGGTCACGATAATTCTTTCATCTCAAACATTCGAATCTTTCAAAGTTGGTTTTGCTGCATAATTGCTACTTTCTGCACACCCTTTTTAGTGAGTTCAAATTTAGCATTAAACGTCATAGCGACGACGACGTTTGACACCTGAATGAAAACAATCCCATTTTCTGAATCGATTACGCTTAAAAAACTACAAATGCTATGCTCAACATATTACTCATTTTTATTTGACAGAAGAAAGGGAAGATGTACACTGTCTATATTTTAACTAAAACTCTGAAAGTTAATATTGTAGACTAAAATTAATAATACAAATAATATGTTTAGACAGTAAGTAGTAATAAAACAATGTGTACCAATTTCTATAGAAGCAAATATTTGCTAACATTGGCTATTATGTCAATGGAACAAGCATTATATCAAAGGATATACACAAAATTGAATGGAACATACTTTAAGCACGGTATTTATACAAGTTCGTTATATCAGTACTTTAAAGCTTTTTCAACGTCAGTTGTTTTAGCAAGATTCCAGCTGTACGACTACGATCTGCAAATAATTGTGGCAAACAATCCAGTGATTGACATCACGAGCAACATTACAGGGATACAGTGACACGTGTAAAAAAAATCAGTGAGTCTCACCACCCGATCCAGTCAGTCTCCTCTAAAGACTTGTCACACTTTAGGCACGTCTTCTTGTGTATAACTAGCAAATACGAAATGTACGAAACAGATATGCATAGGACACAGTGGTCGGGTGGTCTGAGTAGGTTTCTGCCATGTATAATATCAAAGGACGCAGTGGACATGTGCACAACCGAAAAGATTTAACTAAGAAAATGTTTCGAGGAAACAAGCAGATTAAAATATCGAACGTACCTTAAAATACCGACCATTGGTCTTAGTTTCCTAAAACATGACATCAGTACACCTCAAACACTACCGGTGGCCTGCTTGCTTTCCACAAAAACACTTCTCGTTAAATTTACAAGAACATTTAGGATGACAGTAACAGTTAAAGTGGTCTCCATGCGACACCTTTTCATGTTTGGTTCCACCTAAAGTAGAATCATGTTCTCCGATGCTCTGTTTTGAGACCGTCTTAGTGACCGGTCTCCATGAGAAAATGTCTTTCATGGTAGAATCTTCTTCCCATTTCACATTAAAAAACACTGGACCACGTAAAGATGTAAGAATAGCACTTGTGTTCCTTCCCCGGCCCCTAAAACCCGAATCCCCCCCACTAAGGTTTTCACTGTTCACCACCGTGGCAGGCCTTCCTTCGCCCACTGTTCTGGTTCTGGTTCCTTTCAAGGTACGAGACATCCGGTGGGATGCACATTTCTTTATTCCAGTGGACACTTTTATCTGCGTATATTTCCTCTCTCCCTGTCTGCGAGTTTGGGTATCTTTAATCTTATGCGCTCCTGCCTCTGTGATCATCACTTTTGGTGACCCCTTGCTCTTCAAAGTTTTTGATTTACCGCCATGTCCCTGTGACGCATTTGTGAAACCAAGACCCCGATTTTTCAGCCTTGGAGCATGTTTCCAGCCCTCAAGCTTAGACTTAGCAACAGTCACTTTGGACTCTTTAGTGTTGCCGGAACCCATGACTTGAATCTTCACTGTGGGTAAAATTTTCCGTACACCCCTAGGTCCACATGGAGTGGTACTACGCCCTGCCTTTGCAATGTTAAATTTGGATGCATCCTTCCCCTCTCCATGCTTATACCCCTTGGTGGTCCCTTTTAGTGTTGTATTCTTTTTGACCGGCTCAGGTATTCCACCTTGCTGACTGGAAATAGTAGAGGTAACTAGACTCGCCCCTGAGATCTTCCTTTTGGATGCATCCCTCCTCTCTCCAGATTTAGCTCGATCACCTTTGAAAATCGTATTGTCACCTCCTCTTTCTAGAGTAACACTGGTCTTACTAGAATGTGCCTCAGGTATTCCACCCTTCTCATCTGAAATATTAGAGGTGACTAGACTCGCCTCTGGGATGTTCGTTTTCGTGGCACACTTTGTCGCCCCAGGTTTAGCTCCATCACCTATCACTCTTGAAACACTAGTGTCACCGGCACCTTCCTGTGGAATCTTCACTTTTGATGTGACCCTCATCTCTCCAGGTTTAGCTCCTTCACCTTTAACTTTGGAAACCCTAGTATCACCCATTTCCTTGGCATCCGAGCTTGCTCCTTTGATCTTCACTATCCGAGCATCCTTCCTTTCTTCAGATTTAGGCCTACCATTTGGCCTTTTGGAAACACTAGAGGGAACTGGTCTCATCTCTGGGATCTGTGCTGGGGGTGACTCATCCTTCTCTCCAACCTTCGATCTTACACCTTGTTCTTTGGAAACACGAGTTGGAACAGGTGTCGTCTCTGTGATCTTCATTTTGGATGTACCAATTTCCTCACCATATTTAGATCTATCACTTTGCTCTTTGGAAACCTTAGTATCACCTCTCTCTTTGGAAACTGTAGTGTTACCCTGGGGTGCTTCTTGGGACTTCACTTTGTGTGGATCCTTCATTTCTCCAGATTTAGATCTACCAGCCTGCTCGACACCACTGGTAACTACATCAAACGAGGGGATATTCACGTTGCGTGCATCCTTTCCCACTCCAGATTCAGCCACGTCACCATCCACTTTGGAAATCATATTGTCATCTCTTAATACAGTAACACTAGCGTCACTAGGATGCGGTTCAGGAATCTTCACTTTGGGTGTAACATTCTTCTCTACAGGCTCTTTGGAAATATTAGTGATAACTACACTCGCCTCTGTGCTGTTCTTTGTCTCCCCAGGGTTAGCTGCATCACCTCCCACTTTGGGAATCATAGTGTCATCTCTTGCTCTCACGAGAGTAACACTGCTGTTACCGATATGTGTCTCAGGAGTCTTCACTTTGGGTGTATCATTCTTCTCGGCAAGCTCAGGCATTCCACCCTTCTCACTGGAAATATTAGAGGTGACTAGACTCGTTTCTGGGATTTTTGTGACACACTTCGTCTTTCCAGGTTTAGCCCCACCTTCTATCACTCTTGACACACTAGTGTCACTGGCACCTGCCTCTGGAACCTTCACTGTGGATGTGTCCTTCATTTCTTCA